TATATATATATATATATATAATTTTATTATAAAATTATATGTTTTATAATTTTAAAATAACAAATTTTAAAATAATGTTTCCATGGGTTTTGATGGAATAATATACTCTTATTTTGAAATAGCATTCGACTTGCTGATTCTAAAACAAAATGAGTAATTTTTAAATCAGTTTAGAAGGTAAATTAGCTAAATACACATTTTTATTAGGAAGAGGATGCAGGAGAGAACTATAAATATCCTGGCTGTTTAGCGGGTGGTTGGTGGAATCAGTCTTATTACTGACTGGCGGCATACCCCTTGGAGAAGCAAACCCTAAGGACACACTGGTACCACATGACTTAACTGTTCTCAGCATAGACCATCAGTATATCCAGTCATTTCCACAGCTGACAGACTGACAATTGGATTTGTGCAGTAGTGACCCAGTTCAGTCACTCAGAGAGTTTAAAAGCACAAACATGTCACAACACAGGCAAAAATAGGAAAATGACAGCATGTGAAATACAATCAAGAGAAAAGGAAGAACTCTAGGACTGAATCAAGGGAATCATGGGGGACCTTAAGTCCAGCACCTAATTTTATAGAAATGGAGTCATGAACAGATGGAAGCTTGTCTTTGACTACACACTGCCCTAGCTGGAACTCAGACCTCTCAGCAATTAGCCCAGTGGCCCGAGGATTACTGGGCTCCTCATGATAAAGTCAGCGCTAACCTGCCCCAAGTACAGCAGCCTCTGGACATCACGTTATCACTGTCTCAGAGGGTGTACCTGGCTGCTCTGCTGAAGGGTTGCTGTCCTGAGTAATTATTTTTTTAAAAATATACCTGTTATTTTGTACTGAACTTACAGAAAAAGTTTGTTCTTTAAAACAATTTTTTTTACTTCAAAAAAAAATTTTTTTTTGGAGGCCGAGTCTTACTCTGTTGCCCAGGCTGGAGTACAGTGGCCCAGCTCACTGCATCCTCCACCTCCTGGGTTCAAGCAATTCTGCTGCCTCAGCCTCCTGAGTAGCTGGGATTACAGGCGCACACTACCACACGCAGCTAATTTTGTATATTTAGTAGAGATGGGGTTTCACCATGTTAGCCAGGCTGATCTTGAACTCCCGACCTCTGGTGATCTGCCCGCTTCAGCCTCCCAGAGTGTGGGATTACAGGCATGGGCCACCACACCCGGCTTTTTAAAACATTTCATTGGAAATTGACAAATTGTAATTGTTTATATTTATAGGGTACAAAGTGCCGTTATCATATATGTATACAATGTGGAATGATTAAATGAAACTAACACATCCACCACCTCAAATATTCATCACTTTTTTATAGTGAGAACATTTGAAATTTGCTCTCTTACCAATTTTGAGCCGTGCGCGGTGGCGCGCCCCTGTAGTCCCAGCTACTCGGGAGACTGAGGTGGGAGGATCGCTTGAGCCCAGGAGTTCTGGGCTGTAGTGCGCTATGCCAATCGGGTGTCTGCACTAAGTTTGGCATTGGTATGGTAACCTCCCAGGAGTGGGGGACCACCAGGTTGCCTAAGGAGGGGTGAACCGGCCCAGGTCAGAAACGGAGCAGGTCAGAACTAGAACTCCCGTGCTGATCAGTAGTGGGATTGCACCTGTGAATAGCCATTGCACTCCAGCCTGGGCAACATAGCCAGACCCCATCTCTTAAATTAAATAAATAAAATAAATAAATAAATAAATAAATAATAAAACAATTTTGAGGCCAGGCATGGTGGCTCATGGCTGTAATCCCAGCACCTTGGGAGGCGGATGTGGGAGGACTGTTTGAGTTTGGGAGTTCAAGACCAACCTGGGCAACATGGTGAGACCTTATCTCTGCTAAAAGTAAAAAATTAACTGGGAGTAATGGTGCACACTCTTTGTTGAATGCTCTTTGTTGAATAACTTTCTATGATCAGGCCAGGTACAGTGGCTCATGCCTGTAATCCCAGCACTCTGGGAGGCTGAGGTGGGTGGATCACCTGAGGTTGGGAGTTTGAGACCAGACTGACCAACATGGTGAAACCCCACCTCTACTAAAAAAACAAAAAACAAAAATTAGTTGGACATGGTGGCACATGCCTGTAATCCCAGCTGCTAAGGAGGTTGAGGCAGAAGAATCCCTTGAACCTGGAAAAAGGAGGTTGCAGTGAGCCGAGACTGTACCACCACCCTCCAGCCTGGGTGACAGAGTGAGACCCTGTCTCAATAATAATAATAATAATAATAATGTGTTTTGTGGGTGTGGTGGCACAGACCTGTAGTCCTAATTACTGGGGAGGCTGAAGCAAGAGATCATTTGAGGCCAGGTGTTCAAGGCTGCAGTGAGCTCTGATAGTGCCTGTGAATAACCACTGCTTGGGAAACATAGCAAGACTCTGTCTCTCAAAAACAAACAAAAAACACCCTCCAAAATCGTGTGTTTCTTTGTGTCCTGCTTTAATCATTGCTTGTATCATGAGTATTCCCAGAGCAACAGGTTTCATGGCCCACTGTTTTCAAGGATGGAACACTGTTTATTTTGATCCTCTTGATATTCGCAGCGTTTAGCACCATACTGGTATACAGCAGAAACCCAATAAATATATATTGAATGAATTAATTAGTAGAATATGTCATAGTTCAACTCATCTTTTATTGTGGCACACTGAGATTGATTCTAGTTTTTTCACAGTTATAAATACTGCTGCAGTGAACATTCTTTGATGAATCTTTGCACCTACTCTTTATTATTGCCTTATGATAAATTCCTAGAAGTGGAATTACTAGATCAAAGGCTTTAGAAACATATTGGCAAATTGCCCTTCAGAAAAATGGTTCAATTCCCCCATCCTCCTGCCAACTTTCTTTCTTTTCTTTTCTTTT